AAGCCAGACCATCCACCGACAGATACATATCCCATTTTGAGGCATTGGGTCGGCAGAATGCCCAAATTCTAGAGCAAAATGCACTCATTCTCTCTCGCCTCGATCAAGAGAAGGAAGCTCGACGCTACATCATCAAATCCAACCATCACATCATGAGGTCCTTGAGGATTGACTACAAAAAATTCTCAAGACCTTGGGAACTATCTCCTAAGCCAACCGAGGAAAGCAATGAAGAGGGAAGTGAAGAGGATGACGAGGGTAATGACGATGAGCAAAACAAGGAAAGAAGTGAAGAGGACAATGACACCAATGAGGAAGAGGGTAGTGAAGAGGGTGACGAGGGCAATGACGATGACCAAAACAAGGAAAGAAATCAAGAGGACAGAGGGACCAATGAGGAAGAGGGCAGTGAAGAGGACGACGAGGGCAATGGCGATGAACAGAACAAGGAAAGAAATCAAGAGGACAAAGGGACCAATGAGGAAGAGGACATTTAAGAGGACGACGAGGGCAATGGCGATGACCAAAGCAAGGAAAGAAATCAAGAGGACAAAGGGACCAATGAGGAAGAGGGTAGTGATTCTAGCGAGGACAATGAAGATGAGAAAATCCAGGAAAACAAGGACGAGGACGAGAACACTGACGAGGAAGATGGGTAGTGAAGATGAGCCAACCAAATTCCTTAATACTTAGCTATGTGTGTTTGCGTTTGTGCTTGTATGTTTTCCAATTAGAATATGATGATGCACCGGTGTGGGCTACATGCAGCTAAACTTAAGCATTAATTAGACAGATTTAATAGTGTTATGGATGCTTGTTTTATTAGATAAATGTAATGCTTTGACTACTTTTTACTTTTTGTTAACAAGGTATCTCATCTGGTATGATGTACGGTTACTAGAGAACATTGTGAATGGATCTATGTAATGCTCGTGTCAAGCTTTAGAGAACATTATGAATCATCTTTTTCATAAGTTTGAAGTCTTGGAAAAAAGTCCATTCTGTTTGAAACACCATTATAATAAGTACATGGGATAATTCAACAGGTGAAAGTCTCCTACTGGAAATCTGACACCTTATACTGGTAATCTCACGACCGTAAAATACTCAAGTGAGATGTAAAAAGCAGTGCTTCATTCCTCAGGAAAATATCACGGCCGTGAGATGTCCCGTGAGATGCAAAGAGCAGTTCTCACTATCTTAGGATATTTCACGACTACTACTTGACATTGTCATGCCCGTCAAAATCTCACGTGAAATTGAAACACACAGCTGCCACTCAAACGTTCTCACAGCTCATTCTGGCAAATTAACAGCCGTGGAATTAAGATGTACCTACACTTTCTAGAGTTGTACCTTTACACTAAACTTAAAGTTGTACCTACACTTTCCTAAAAATCTTCTATGGTACAATTCACAATTGTACCTATACACTATGGTACAACTAATGTTGTACCTACACTATCTAACAAATCCCTCTATGGTACAACTCAAAATTATACCTATACTTGTGGTACAACTCTACATTGTCCCTACACTTTCTAACAAATCTCTCTATGGTATAACTCAAAATTGTACCTATACTTGTGGTACAACCTTCACTTTTACCTACACTTTCTCAAAATCCTTCTATGGTACAACCCAAACTTGTACCTATAGCGTGGTACAACTTTAAAATGCACCACACTTTCTAACAAATCCATCTATGGTACAACTAAAAATTGTACCTATACTAATGGTACAACCTTAAGTTGTACCTACACTTTCTCAATATTCTTCTACGGTACAACCCAAACTTGTACCTATACTATGGTACAACTTTAAGTTGTACCTACACTTTCTAACAAATCCCTCTATGGTCCAACTCAAAATTGTACCTATTCTTGTGGTACAACCTTATGTTGTACCTACACTTTCTAAAAATCCTTCTATGGTACAACCCAAACTTGTACCTATACAATGGTACAACTCTAAGTTGTACCTACACTTTCTAACAAATCCCTCTATGGTACAACTCAAAATTGTACCTACACTAATAGTACAACATTAAGTTGTACCTACACTTTCTCAATATACTTCTATGGTACAACCCAAACTTGTACCTATACTACGGTACAACTTTAAGTTGTCCCTACACTTTCTAACAAATCCCACTATTGTACAACTCAAAAATTTACATATTCATGTGGGAGAAATTTTACAATGCTATATAGTATTGGTGCTATAGGTTTTTGCCTTTATGGTACAACTTAAAATTGTACATTTACGTTATGGTACAACTTCATATTGTACCTATACTTTTTGTACAAATTCTTTTATGGTACAACTTGAACTTGTACCTTTATGTGATGGTACAACTTCAAGTTGTAAAGTTGTACCATAACATAATGGTACAAATTGCTTTATGGTACAACCTAAACTTATACATTTAATGTTATGGTACAATTTTGAGTTATACATTAAAGCACCAATGCTATATAGCATAGTAGAAGTGCTCTTCATGTGGTACAACCTTATGTTGTACCTACACTTTCTAAAAATCCTTCTATGGTATAACCCAAACTTGTACCTATACAATGGTACAACTTTAAGTTGTACCTACACTTTCTAACAAATCCCTATATGGTGCAACTCAAAATTGTACCTATACTAATGGTACAACCTTAAGTTGTAACTACACTTTCTCAAAATTCTTCTATGGTACAACCCAAACTTGTACCTATACTATGGTACAACTTTAAGTTGTACCTACACTTTCTAAAAATCTTACTATGGTACAACCCAAACTTATACCTATACCATGGTACAACTTTAAGTTGTACCTACACTTTCTAACAAATCCCTCTATGGTACAATGCAAAATTGTACATATACTAATAGTACAACCTTAAGTTGTACCTACACTTTCTCAAAATCCTTATGCGGTACAACCCAAACCTGTACCTGTACCATGGTACAACTTTATGTTGTACCTACAATTTTACAAAAAAAACTCTGTGGTACAACCTAAAATTATACCTACACGCTAGTACAATTTTTAGTTGTACCTACACTTTGTGAAACAAAGTCTTCAATGGTACAGCTGAAACTTGTACGTATATGATATGGTACAACTCTAATTTATACCTACACTTGTATACATTGATTTATTATTTACAAGATTGCCATTAATGATGTGGGACCAGTCATTTAGTGGGTTTACCTTCTCAACAGGTCACCTTTTTTTTTATAGCATGGGTGCTATAGAGAACACTAGAAGGGCTCTTCGAAGAGACAAAATATTGTTGTGCTTATTCCACAGCCCTATCAACGCTATATAGTAGCAAAGGGGTCAACTTTAGTGGCGGATCCATGGGGCTTTAGGGGTATCCCGGGATACCCCTAAAATTTGGAAATACGATTATTCAACCCCCAATAGTAGTTTGCATATAGGTAAAAAAAATATTTAAGTGGTAGCGGGATAGTACTAAAATTTGGAAAAACAATTATAATCCCCTAATAATAGTTTGTGTATGGGTAATATAAACATTTAAGTGGTTGCCTATGCGATTTGAACTTGGGTCGATGCTACTATTAGTAAACATATTTTTCATTAGACTATCACTCATTTGTTCTTGTATTTCAAATCCAAATATAATAGTAAAAAGCTATTTTTTATCCCAATAATTTTCAAAAGCTAACGATTAAACCCAATTACGGGCTCCCCTAGTCTAGTAGGATATATCGAGAGAGATTTATAGAGCATTGTTAGACAACAATTGTATTTTACAATTTTTCCAAAGTACGAAACCCATCATGTGCTTTGTTGTACTTTGGACAAATCAGATATTTTCTTATTAATTGAACTTAATTTTTAGAAGAGAACACCCCTATAAAAATTTCTGGATCCGCCATTGAGTCAACTTATAGACCAAATCCTTTGTTATACACCGGTTGGCATTGGAGCATTGTGAATTTGTGATTGTGAGTCCTTACCCTCAACCAAGATCAGTGGTTCCAAAACTTTTGTTAAACACCAAGTTGTTATTGGCCATTGTAACAGTGACCTCTTACATTAACTAGCGGTCAATGGTTCCAAAATTTTTGTTATACAGCAGGTTGTTGCAAGCCATTGCGATTGTTAGTTATGATGCTCAACCGAGTGGTCAATGGTTTCAAAAAACGTTTGTTATACCCCAAGTTGTCATTGACCATTGTGATTGCTATGCAGTCACCGGAGTGGTTATAATGGTTCTAGAGCATTTGGCATACCCCGAGTTGCCATTCTTGTTATACACTCAACCAAGTTGTCACTGACCACGTTTGGTGCGGGGCGGGTATGAGTATTGAAGCACCCGCTCCGTCATGTCACATTGCCATCACTACTTGTAAGATAAGTTTGAACAACCTGTACTTATAATTGTGTCTTCCCTTCCAAGCTAACCATATTGTTGTTATCAGATTGAAGCCTGTATCGGAACAATGATCTAAGATGTAGAAACTTTCTCCATAAACAAGAACCCACTTGAATCTAAGAAATCTCCCAAATTGTTCTGCTCTTTGGTCTATGTCTCATAGTCCATGGCCTCCCACAAGAATCCACCTTCCATTATCAACATCCATATCATTCTGACTACACAAGCAATACTCAAGTGTATAGATCTTTCAAGCCAAATCCACCCTCTTCTTTGGGCATTGCTATCAACTCCCATATGACTTTTGTCTTTCCAGTACTTTCATAATTTTTCGTGAAAAAATAATTATGTAGTTCTAGAAAAACTAGTTTAGTTTCCCATGTTGGAAAATATGAAACTTTTGAACATATTTGCGGTTCTTGACTTCTTGTGCAACTTTGAGACCCTTTTGCTTTTCATTTTTAATAAAATTTTGATGGTTTACATGAAGAAAAAAAAAACTTCGTCAATATTTATTCTATGTAATACAGTACCATAATGAGAACTTATTCATTAAAAGGAACTTGAGAGTCGTGCATGCACAATTACATACACATCAACACACCGTCATCTACCTTCTTCTTTCTGAATCATAAAAAAGAAAGACCACATTTTCTTCCTCTTTTTGATAAGAAATATGAAATCGTCGGAACCAGAAGACACAAAGACAACACCAAATTGAAGCTGAAGAGCGACGCGCTTCCCAGGAAGCCGAGGAGCGACGCGCTTCCCAGGAAGCCGAGGGAGCGATGCGCTTTCCAGGAAGCCGATGAGCGATGAGCTTCTCAGGAAGCCGAGGAGCGACGCGCTTCCCAGGAGGCGACGGAGCGATGCGCTTCTCGGAAAGCCGAGGGAGCGAAGGAGCAATGCGCTTCCTAGGAAGCTGAGGAGTGATGCGCTTCTCAGGAAGCGGAGGGAGCAATGCGCTTCCCGGGAAGTGAAGGAGCAATGCGCTTCCCAGGAAGCCGAGGAGCGATGTGCTTCCCAGGAAGTCGAGGAGCGAATCGCTTCCCAGGAAGCCGAGGAGAAAGGAGTGATGCGCTTACCAGGGAGTGAAGGAGCGATGCGCTTCCCGAGAGTGGGAACCACTTCGTGTGGGTTCTTTTCTGCCAAAATGTCTTCTCCTACTTCATTGTCGAGGATGTTGTAGCAGACAGCCTTGAGCCAGGTGGTTCCGGTTTTGGTGAAGGATGTCAAGAGAATGTCGTCGTTTCTCAGCTCGAATCCGGACCTGAATGCGGCGGTGCCATCCATTACCGCCATGAAATACCAGAAGCCTTCTATCTGTCCGATCTCGTGTGAGTTCCAAAACAACTCCTTTGGCATATTATTCATCGCAGTCAAAACAAGGCAATACACACAATATTACTACAATTCGAAGAGACAAAATACTGTTGTGCTTATTCCACAGCCCTATCAGCGCTATATAGTAGCAAGGGGTCAACTTTAGTGGCGGATCCATGGGCTTTAGGGGTATCCCGGGATACCCATAAAATTTGGAAATACGATTATTCAACCCCCGTTAGTAGTTTGCATATAGGTAAAAATAATATTTAAGTGGTAGCGGGACAGTACTAAAATTTGGAAAAACGATTATAATCCCCTAATAATAGTTTGCGTATGGGTAATCTAAACATTTAAGTGGTTGCCCATGTGATTTGAACTTGGGTTGATGCTACTATTAGTAAACATATTTTTCATTAGACTATAACTCATTTGTTCTTGTATTTCAAATCCAAATATAATAGTAAAAAGCTATTTTTTTATCCCAATTATTTTCAAAAGCTAACGATTAAACCCAATTACGGGCTCCCCTAGTCTAGTAGGATATATCGAGAGAGATTTATAGAGCATTGTTAGAGAACGATTGTATTTTAAAATTTTTCCAAAGTACGAAACCAGTCATGTGCTTTGTTCTACTTTGGACAAATCAGATATTTTCTTATTTAATAATTATTTAATTACTAATTGAACTTAATTTTTAGAAGAAAATACCCCTATATAAAATTTCTGGATCCGCCACTGAGTCAACTTTAGACCAAATCCTTTGTTATACATCGGTTGACATTGGAGCATTGTGATTGTTTTGACACCTAAAATTAATTTGGCCTAAATTCAATACCGCAATTATTAATCTCGGCATTTAATTCGATACTTCATGACAAAAACGGTGTCGTTTGGAGACAAGCGACGCTGCAGCGAGATCCAACAATGTCGCTCAGCTATAAAACGACACTGCAAGGAAACTCAGCGGTACCACAGCACTTGAAACGACATTGTTTACTAGAAAACAATTTTTGTGAGACATGGGCCGCACAATTGGAGTTGTTTTTGGAAAAGGAGTGTGTTTTTTATTCCTTATCGGAGAAGGAGAGTGAAACGACACTGCGTAGAGACAAGCGGCATCACTGATGGATAAAACGATACCGCGAAGAGACAAGCGGCATTGCTGATGGCCGGATTAATTAATTAATATTTAAATGACTATTTAGGACGGTGTCGTTTAGTTGAAAACGATGCCGCAAGAGGAAAGAAACGACACCGCAGTTTTAAAAACGATGCCGCGAGTAGGCCAAAGGATGCCACAATAGTTAAAATGACAGTGCTAAATTTAAAACGGCATCGCGAAGTTCAACAGCATCGCAGAACTAGAAAACAATGTTGTTTAATTAAGAACGGCGCCGCGAAGTGAGAGATTGACGGCGTGCCAACAATGATGGCCGGTTTAATTAATTAATATTTTAAGTTATTTTAGACGATGTCGTTCAGTCGAAAACGACATCGTAGGAGATATCAACACCGTCGTGGTACTGAAACGATGTTGTTTAATAGAAAACAACGTCGCAGTGGCGAGAGTTCAGCAATTGTGGATTTTGGCTTAGTGTCGTTTTGGCCAAGTTTCCGCGTGTCTAAACGGTTTCTCACTCGTGGGAGTTACGCAACAAGGAGGAAGTTACCTGCACGGTTGACAAGAATGAATACGTGGGAGACAAAGGCGCAAAAGCAGTTACTACGATGGGGAGAAGCGCGAAGTATGAAGATTGGGAAGAGAGAGAAGCTGAGGACGGCAAAATCAAATCTCAGACTGCACCGTCGCATAATTATCATTTTTTCTCTTTAGTTTCGTAGAACCGCTCTGTCAAAGACCTCCTCTGCAGAGTCGTAGATCGTAGCTTGTAGTCGTAGTCGCGGAGCTCTCCTGAGGAACCTCCATAGGAGTAGAGGTAACGTAACTTAGAACACTCCCAGTTTGGTTTCTCGTTTCTCGTTGAATACCCTCGTTCGAACGTAGTTTGGGGAGGTGGTGAACCGAGTAACGGTTGTTCTGGTTAGAAATCAAAGATGCATCGATCAAATCAACATCGCCAACGCCAACGGTGGATATTTGACGGTCGTCTTGGTTTCTGTTTAATCGATCAAATCAATGGAGCCGACATTCGGCGACAGATATTTGACGATTGTGATTGACTTTGTGCTTGTGTTTACTTGAAAACAATGCGCATTCAACACGCGAGTTTCGCCAACGAAACAAATTGGCACACATGGTGGGACACGTGTGTTCGAATGGCTCCGCAACGAAGGAATCAGGAAGGGGATGTTCCTGCCAGGATTTGTGGAGGAACATGTGGCCAACATTGAAGGAGTACAAGGAATCGGTGCTGAAGACATTGGTGGTTCTGAGAATCCGCCGTCCATAGCTGGGCCGACTGAGGATTTGTCAATCCGCCATTTCATGGAGGAAAACCGTCGCATGTTTGCTAGCCTCAACAATGAGTTCGCAGGCTTCAAAGGCGAGTTTGCAAGCTTCAAAGGCGAGGTAAATCAGCGTTTTGACGCTTTAACTGCACGACATGATTCTCTTGAGTCTCGTGTTAATAGACGTTTAAGCCAACTCTTTGAAGTTGTGACTAAAAACAGGCATGATTTTGATGTTTTTGTGGATAAAAATCTACGTGATATGAATGAAATCAGGGAGCTTTTGGGTAGATCAGTAATGCAACCTAGGGATTTGCCGCTAAAGGTGAAAACAATTTAAACAACGAAACTAGTTTTCCAAACAACAATGCTCGAATTAGTCCGACAAGACAAGGAGTTTCGCCAACACCAGTGATGAACCCACCAAATCCGTGAGTTAATCTTAGCGAGACTAGCACTGCCGCTAACACTCAGGTTGAACCACCGCCGTTTCACGGTGGGGGTCCACAAAATATCCCGGAGGCCAGACCCTACGTGGCTCCGATGAGCGGTGCTGGTGGTGGAGGAACGATCAACAATGATCATGTTCCACCACGCGGCTACCCTCAAAACGTGCCTCCTCCTCCAAACGGGCTTGGCATGGATCCTGGTGGATTCGTACCACAAGGGGGGCAACTCGAGGGGCCAGACGTTAATGTGATTCGAGATCAGGTAGCAAAGATGCTGGCGGATCAGTTTGGTTTAGGGATTAGACCAGCGATGTCGCTGGTATATCGAAAATCGTATCCGGATTGGGTTGATAGATACTACCCCTTTCCACGTGGTTTTTGCGTTCCTGACTTCATCATCTTCAGCGGGACTGGAGATCAGTCCACCGTCGAGCACGTTGGACGACTCACGGTTCAATGTGGTGATGTGAGTGATTTCTTGAAGTTGCGTTTTTTTGGCAACTCGTTGACCGGTCCTGCATTCGCATGGTATGTCAATTTGCCATTGAACTCGGTTCAAACTTGGCAGCAAATGGAACAAATGTTCCATGCCCAGTTCTACCGTTCTGAGCCAGAAGTAACTATGGCACATTTGGCACGAATGCGCCAGCATCCAGGGGAAACGGAAGAACACTTTTTAACCAATTTTAAGAATGCAAGAAATTTTTGTTTTGTAAACTTGACAGAACGCGAGTTTGTTAAACTTGCCCAAGGTGGATTGAATTTCGAACTTCGTAAAAATTTTCAAGATATGGAGTTTTCTGACTTGTGCCAGTTGAGGTCCTGTGTTGTTAGATACGAGTCTCTTCTCCATGAAGAAGAACATAAGAGAAGTGGCTCTCATGGTCAATATTTCCCTAATTTTAAAAACTATGGTGTGAATAACGTCGGCAGCGATGTTGACGAGGTTGAAGTTGATGTGGCCGAGATTGTGCAGGCGAAGCCGTATGTGTGTGCTTCTCTAGCCAAGGCCAACGGGGAACCACAAGGTGGAAAGCCCAATCGTGCTCCAATTCAAACTAGAAAATATTCCTTTGATGTTTCAAAATCAGAATTGATTTTCGACCAGCTTTACAAAGATGGTCAAATTAAGTTAACTGCGGGGCATACTATCCGGCCTGAAAAATTAAAAGGTAAACGATACGGTAAATGGCACAACAGTGCATCCAATTCAACTAACATGTGTGTTGTGTTTCACAACGTTGTGCAGGATGCAATTGAGAAAGGTCGGTTCAAGTTCCCAGAGCCGAGGAAGGAGGCCATGATTGTTGACACAGACCCTTTCCTAAACGTTGTCGGCGTCAACATGGTCAATCCTGATTTCTCTAAGATCAGCCTGCCACGCTTCAAGCTGGTGGTGGATACAACGCCACCGCCGAGTGGTAGTTCAGATGTGGCACAGGGTGCTTCATCCTCCCAAGTGCAGGATGGGCCACGCTTGGATCCAGCTGAGGAAGAGAAGCTGTGTGCCCAGTGTCGCGGTAAACTAAACATTGGGGGAGCAGGACCAAGCCAGTCGGTCCACCAGAGATTGTAACCACGATAGTTCAAACTGAGGTACCCCCCATATGAACGCAATGTCGAAGGAGTACGTGCACCTGCATGGGGAAGAGGGCAACATAGACAGTGGGTTGCTCAAAGTGCCCCACCTTTCAAAAGTCTACCTTTTGGACTTGCCTAACCAGTGAGAGGTGCCCCACCTGTCAGGAGAACCTTCAGGATGCCGAATGTGACACAGGGTGGTTGGCACACCTACGACGTCCGTCGTCAGCATCCCATCGCGGTTGACAGGATGACAAGGACACAATATCGAAGGTACCTCCGCAAGAATGCTCAAGGAAGGAGGATTGCAAACTTGCAAGCGAATGTGAACATGGACAACTCTGCCACGGGTCAGAGAGTGACTGTGGGCGGTGCTGGAAAAGTTATCGAGGAAAAGCTAGACGGGAACGATCAGGGAGTCCCGGGAGTGGTTGAGTACGATGCTGAGTTGGATGACTCCTTCATCGAAGAGGAGATACTAGAATTGGAGGAGCTGAAGTCGAAATTTGATCGAAAAAGCAAGGATGATGATGATGACAACCAAGGTGCACCCATGACGATCCAGTTTGGAAGTCTACCACCGGTGGTGGTGAACAACTACATCTTGCC